CGATTAAATAGTCCTGCCCTCCACCTGGGATTCTTTTATCCCAATCTTTCCTTTACATATTTGTGGGTCCCACAGTTTCAGACAATTCCATCCAACAAAGTAAACACTGGACTAAATGCTGACGTGTGTACTAATTATTTTCTATAATCCCATCAACCAAAGTAAATGAGGTCTTAATATTTAAATCATCAATCTACTTGTTTTATTTCATTTAATTTACAATTTTTTCCCAATGACAGGTGAGTCTAACTGGAGTATTAGAGATGAAGGCCACAAACTACACAACCACTCATCAAATCACAACTAATGACATTTATGGAACCTTAGTTGCACAAAACACAGTTGCAAACAACCATGACCACTTCATAACATACTACCTTGACCTAGACATTGATGGTGTCAAAAATTCACTTGTTAAGTCCAAACTCGAAACCGTTAGGACGAAAATGCCCTCTCGAAGGAAAAGTTACTGGAAAGTTTCTACGGAGACGGTCCAAACGGAGAGCGACGCACGGGTTCGGGTCGGGTTGGAGCCTGTCACGCTGTCGATCGTTAATCCTAATAAGAAAACGGGGATTGGGAATCCCTTGAGCTACGGGCTGATCACGGGACAACCGGCTGTTACCCTTCTTACGAAGGACGATTATCCACAGATTAGGGCGGCTTACACTAAGTACCAAGTTTGGGCGACTTGTTACAACAAGTCGGAGAGGTGGGCCGGAGGGTTTTACGCCGACCGGAGCCAAGGAGATGATGGTTTGGCCATGTGGAGCAAAAGGTAAAATTCTTTATCCAATTATTTTTATCATATCAAATTAGCGCCAATAAATATATTGACATGAATCACATTGTGGGCATTTTGCAGGAATTTGCCAATAGTGAATAAAGACTTGGTACTGTGGTATACAGTTGGTTTTCATCACAGCCCAAGACAAGAAGATTTTCCAGTCATGCCCACTTTGTATGATGGCTTTCAGCTCAATCCAGTCAACTTTTTTGAGAGAAATCCTATTTTGAGATGATCAAAGCAACTCCAACACCCTTTTTATTTTAATTTTTAATGTTGAGTTTACTCTAAAACTAAAGTAAATTAAAGTTTAAATTCCTCTCCTGTTTTTTCCCACTTCCTTTTTTACTTCACATGGATCATTATCTTTTTATTCTTCTAATTTTTTAAGTTTGAATTAGTATTATTACTTAAATAAAATTTAGTCGATCATATTATTAAGAGTGAGACGTAGTAGGGGAGTATGTAGATTACGCAACGTGCGTTTGAACACCGAAATTAAAAGCAGAAGCAATGTATAAGTAAAAATGTCATCGAGGAGCGTCCCACTATCGCTTAAAGTTTTTTCATTAATAGATCGATTTGCGCACAATTTATAGCTCGGACTTATTAGAATAAGACTATATGCTACTCTAATCAACACTATACCCTACTCTATCAATTACTTTTGTGACCACAACGTGGATTTCACAATAGCTAAGGATCCTCCCTAATTATAAAAACATTAAATCATAGTACTCAAAGTGTTTGTAAATAAAGAACAAGATCTGTTTTTCAGCAATAACACAACACTTAATCATAGTAAAACAAATAGAACATAAAAAGCTAACGAACACAATAAAAGTATGGAATGACAATACCGATACTTTCTTTTTTCTTTTTTTTTTTGGTACAGGGACATTCCGATTTTTGGATCCACAGGAAAACCGACTAATCCGATCGAGCAGGGTAGGACCACAAGGGCGGCAAAGCTCTCCCTCAAGAGTTTTTAACACTGCTGCATTCCTAGGGCTCGAACACGAGACCACTGGTTAAGCTG